TTGTTCTTCTTCAGTCATCTATTAGGCCTACACATGTAATTCTGCATGGACGCTCCAAGCCAGCCGTAATCGCTCATAGACAGTGTCAGGTGTTTGTGAGAAATTTAACAAAAATGAGTGAGGAGGAAAAAAGCGAACAAGAACTGGCTGCTAAAAGACATTCACATTCCACTATATGGAAATATTTTGGATTGGACACAATATTCAGCAAAAGCAAGTGATTTGTTGGCACAACTTGCAGCAACATCACCAACTTATTGGTAGATAAGTTCTGTTTAGCTATAGCCTATTTGGGTACATTTTCAACTCAATTTTTGCTTTATCGATTTTTGAAAATTTTCCGATATTCTGAGGCGTAAGTGTAATATATTTAGTCATTTTGCTCTGTGTAGCTACCCAATTATGTTCATTGTGTCATACCAATGTTTCTATTGCTGTGGCAACCATTTACATCAACAGTACCATCATAACACCTGTTCTAGTTGGCGTGGCTGAGCTGAGCTGTCCATAGACAACAGATGCTGTTGACGATATTTAGTTTTATACCAATTTATATGTACCAATGAACAAATGGAACAATCATACCCTAAGTATGACACATTTAAAAATGGAAATGAATGAATCATATTTACCCTGGAGGTACAATGTGAGGAAATTGGATGTGACTCAACAGGCGGGAAATAAAAACATTTGAGCCACTTCAGTCAGTACAAAACCCCAAGCACTGTGATAATGAGGGTAACCTGGAAACAGCTTCCATGTGGGAACCCACCCCTGAGTGATAACATCACAGGCATGGTGAGTTCTGGCACGAGAACCAAAGTTTGTCTAAGAAAAGAAGTGGCATCCTGGCACATGCCAAGACTAAAAGAGCAAAACAAACTAGCAGCTGTTGCCCGGCAAAATTACTTAAGTTGTACTAAATTACTCACTATAACTTTATCACACCTAATCCCTAAAAGTCAGCAGAACCATAAACATAAACTTACCTTCTCACAATAACTTTTTATTGTTTGGTTTTGGGTATGAGTACAGCACTTTAACTTGATTTTACTGGGGTATAGCACTTTAGCTCCATTTTAGCTACTGTAAGAGTATAGCACTTTAGCAAAACTTTGGCTAAAAGTGTAGCACTTTCATTTAGTTTTGGCAGAATATAGTACTTTAACCTGATTTTGGCTGCACTTTAACTTGGTTTTAATCGAGAGTGTAGCACTCTAGCTTCACTATGGCTAAGAATATATCATTTCAACTCAGCTTTGACCAAGAATGCAGCACTTTAACTGAATTTTGCCTCAGAGTGTATCACTCTATAGCTTGATTGTCCAATAAATGTGCATTTCCAGACATTTTTTTCTGAAGCTACTTAGCAAACATTTTGAAAGCAAACACTCAAGTCATCCTCTTTGGCTTGGAATTTGGTGAAAATGCCATACCTCGCTATAAACTACATGCTGTTAGAATGACAACAATGTATTCCCCATCACCCACTCTCCCCTAATATTCCCCAGCCCTCTAGCCCCCGACACACTCTCCCCAAAAAATCTCTATTAACAGCCCATCTTTGTGTGACTTGTCTCAGGCTCACCATATGTGCATCTGTGACTCCTTTCATGTGCCACCACTACACGATACTGCTTCAAATTTCAAGCAATAAAATCTTATCTAGCTGTGATTTAAAGGAACCCAAGGTTTTAGCTTGCACTACACTAACAGGAAGACTATTCCATACTCTAACTACATGCTGAAAATGAAAACACATATTGATCTTCATCCCATATAATGTTTTTGTGAAATTGTAAACGGATTCCTCAAATACTTTTTGAGTTACAATGTTCAAAAACTCAAGTATAATTTGTAGTTTCTTTTCCTTTTGCTGTTACTTAGCGGTGTTGTTTCAGGTGCAATTTGTCTCACAATGAAATCTCACTGACCATTATCTGCATAACGTAGAACTACTGTAATCAAGATCAAGTGTCTTCTACAGCCGTCCAATCCTTCCTTTGCTGCCACTTAAAGCTGTCATTTCTTTCAATTTTGGAGTGATTAACTTCAAAATTAAACCAGGTATAGATACAATACTTTTGCAAAGTGATAATAAGATCCATCAAATACTTTTTGAGTTATCACGTTAACAAGGTCAAGTACCTTATTTGGCGTATTTCGCTGTATGGGTGAAGATCTGGAACTGATCAAATTTTTACAGCACATACCACAAAAGCTGTTTGCATACTATACCTGGTTGTCTCACCATTACTTATTTGTTTACATTTTATATTATTTATTGTCTTTTGTATTTCTGTCTTGTTTAATTGTCTACCTCATAAATTATTAATGTTTTTATGCTAGGTGAATAAAAATATTCTGATCTGCTTTTGTACACTGGCAGTCGCTGCCTTAAACATTTCAGGGTTTCACACACTTAAGTTCACAAGTGCACTGCTCTCACCAGATAGAAAAACAGCCCTGTCCAACCCTGGTAGTGCCCACAGAGACAGCTGTGATCACAATCTCAAGCTTCATTTCCCCAAGTCCGGGATTTTCACCCCTAAATCCCCAGAGATGCAAAGTGTATTATTTTTTATCTGCCTCACTTGTTAATTGATTTAATCAAATATTATTTAGATAGATAGTCAGTTATCCCTGTGTTTCAGATGTGAAACAGGAGCCTATAAAAATTAACTGGTGCACTTCTGCAATAATCAAGGCCAAAAATCAGAAGGCCAAGTTTCCTGTAACAGCTGTGATTCATGCACCAAGCATAAATCTTTTGTCCCTCTGTAAAGACAAACAGGTTCCTGATTTTTGTTTTCTCACCACGAGATGAATAAAGCTGCTTTGATTCAGTAGCAACGCCATCAGACAAAGTGACCTTTAACAATCTGCTCTGTTTCTGAAAATAGGCTGTTTACTAATTAGTGTCAAAAAGACTCCTGGGAAAACCATGATGGATTGCATTTGGAGAACTGAGGGATTTATTGGACAATTGAAAGAGAAGGGACCTTTGGTTAATATAAAGGAAAGTGGGTCTTTTTTTTTTTTTACAGAAAAGATTAATGATGCAGCTATTCAAAATGCTGGTCCATTATTGGCTCTCCCCAGAAATGCTCATACACATGCTAAATGGTAAAGACACTAGATAGCCTTTCAATATGCATCTGTGTGTAGGGCCCACACGTTAGGACCAAGAGTTGACCAGGGCTGTCCATTCCCATCCAGAGCAGAAAGCCCAGTCACAGGGTTATGAAGTCATAACTTGTACACATCCCTGAGGTATCCTACTGCAGTAGGGCCAAAAACATACTTATTATCAATTACCAAAGCAAAACACACAGAGAGATGGTGTGCAACTCTGCGTGGTGGGACTCTTTGCCAGTGATCAGAAGGTCCCCAAATGCCATGGTCTGCAGAATGATGTCACCCGCGGGCCCCTGGGCAAGGCCCTTAACCCTAGCTGCCCCAGGGACTGGCAGACTCTGCTTTCTCTGCTGTATGTCACTTTGGAGAAAAGTATCTGCTAAATAAGTCAATTTAAGTTACAAATTGTAGAGTGCTTTAAAAATACGTCAGCTAAGGCCCCGTTTACATTTGGTTTTAAAATTAGTTTTGGGTGTTGGGACAGCACTAAATACAAGTGTAAATGACCACCAAAACACAATGTGATCTAATAACTCAATTAAAAGCCACCTCAGTAAACGACCTTGATACTGCTGTAACAGAAATGGTAAATTTCTTAGTGTGTATAATTTCTTCAAGGGAAGAATGTGTGGCACTGTTTTGACAGGTGTGCTTTGAAGAACCTCACTGTCTAAATGAACACCTGTTTGGGGGCTCACTAATAGCACAGACAGCTATGGGTTACAGCTTAGGGGCTGACAAATGTTACAAACACAGAACAGCCCCCCCAAAAAAAAAACCCAAAAATAAAACAAACAAACAAACAAAAAAAACAATCCCGCTATAAACCTCCTGAAGATTTATTGTAGAGTGACACAAATAAAGTTGTCTGCATAACTGGTGCCAAATTGTGTCACCCTGCAATCAGACAAAAGCCGGTGCTTACCCAACACAAGTCCTGACTGAAAACTGGGCTCCTGCGAGAAAGTAACCACCTTGGACGAAAAGTGCCGAATCTTAACAGATTCCCCGTGAAGGAAAGCCCAGAAGATACGTTAAAATCAAAAGTAATTTGATTATCAAAATTTCAAGCACTCCACAGCGCTTATAACCAAAACAAAATTATATATGTATAACAAACTTTTGGTCTTTAGGAAAGTAAATATTTTCCTTTCGCTGTTCTAATTAACGAGTGTAAATCATATACGACTTAAAATTTAAAGCGACCTATTACATACAGTATGCATCGCAATTAAAGGCACGTTAATAAATTTCAATATGACCACGGAAAATACCAGAGCTGATATCCTTAATGACCAATCACTGCGACCAATTACTTAAGCAGTCCACTCTTGTTTGTATTCGCATATAAAAATTGTTTTATTTTATATTTATAAAATCAACCCTGCAACGCACAAGTTAACTTCAGGAAAGAGATCGAACTTCGATCGCCTAAACAAAGACAGAAAAAGTATGTTTTTTCATTCAAAAAGACATAGTAATTTTTTACAAGATGGACTTTAATATATATATATATATATATTTAAACTAAATCGACTGTTTTGAATGATGACTGTTTTGAATTAACCTATATTACCTCCACTAGACTGCACCCACAAGTTTTTAAAGGGACATGAATGGAAAATACGTACTATTCCCTTTGAGGACAAATAAACAGTAACACAAGTCTTGCTCTTTAAAGTGCCGATCACAGCAAACAGTTCAATCTGCTGCACGACTGATGTAAAACGGCACTTTTAGAAACTTGTACTGAATCCCAGCCACGCAATGTCACCGACACATAAACTTCAAAATATAGAACAGCTCTTTGTAACACATGGCAAATTGGGGAGTGCAGTTGTATAAAAGCACTTTTATCCTACCTTTCATCCATTCGACCACACACTTCGGCGACCACTTCGTTATGGGATCCATAGCTTGCAGGGTTTTCTATTTCAGATCCAGATACACGTTACACCAGAAACTTCATATGTGTGGAGTGTTTATGTTTTGACGCACATATCTGTAACTTACACTGTTAGTCCTATACTGCAAAATATAATGTGTAAAACTGTTTTAGTGAGGACAACTACAGCTGTGGTTTACTGCCATACCCTCACAAGCAGTCGGTGTCTGCGCATACAATGTCAGCGCTAAATAGGTAGGCGGAGAAATCTGTCGTAGGATCGCCTTACACTTTCTACTTACGTAGCCTAATTTTGAGCTAAAACTGTTTCAAAGAGTACCGTGTTCGTATCTCTCTCTTTATTCTTTTTTATTTATTTATTTTACATAATTCGAGCTAACAACGTTGTTAATAACGATAACACGTTTATGGGTCGTAACAGCAACAAGTAAGATACACGGCTGGGTTTAGCATAGCTGCAATATTAATGACATTTCTTTTAAAATATATGGTTATTGAAAAGTATTTGCCGTAATTTAATCGGTGGTTTAAATGTTATTAAATAATGCAGCCTACGGGTAAACTGGCGAAAGACAAAACGAGATTGTGTTATTTATTATGCTGCTAACATGTAACAATTAACTGCGAAAAACTAGCAATATTGCACGTATTGCATTTATACCATCATAACTTAGTGTAAACATATTTTCTGTAATTAAAATTAAAGTTTGTAAAATTTCTAAAGCTACAAGTGTTGTGCGCAACTATTTAGCGCGCTCTGCTGATGGGATGCGACATTGCAGACTTTAACAAACAAGCAATAACGTCCACGCTAACGATAAATATATACAAATATACGTAATTGATAAAAAAAAAAAAAAAAAGTGGGTACAAGTTAAACTTGTTTCAGTATATTCAATGTCTCAACACTTTGTAACATGAAATAATGCCCTAATCACACAGAAAAAAAAATAATTACAAAAAATAGAGGCTAGCTACGTTTAACTTTGGTCATGTTAGGCCTATTCTTTACATGGGTCAAATGACACGGTTGCCCATGAGACCACCAATAAAGTAATCTAAGTTCAAAGATGGATCAGGTGCTCTATACTATTAGGGTGTGTACACCACCTAGTACAATGTTCAGATATCTAGCATTAATCTACAGATTAACTGAAATTTAGCTAGACAGAGCATCAGCATTAAATACATCTGGGTGCATGGATCAAAACATTAGGTATTTATCTCCTAGGCCCATTGCATAGTGTAGCTGGTGTTTACAGTCATAAAGTATTTTGTATTAGCATCTATAAAATGTGGTTTGTGTTGTTGACAGAATTCTAGTAGGCTGCTTCATTAATACGTTACTATTTAAAAAGTCAATACCTAATTTAAAAAATAGTAACATAAAAAATGGGATGTAATAATATGAACTATTTATATCTTCATAGAACTATATAATGGCAACAAAGTAAACTTTAATTCCAGTAGGCTACACGTCAATTGGCAAAACATATTTTGACAATTTTGTTCGCACAAACACTTGTAAATAAGTGTTGCGAAACCTCATACTAGTGCTATACAAGACAAAACGGGGCATTATAAGAATGAAAGGACATGGTAATAAATAAGGAATAAATCATGGGAAAAATTGTAATTGCTTCAGAAGTTCATGTGTTTGTACATGGCTGTTGTGAAAGCAACACAAAGAGGAGACTCCCTGCGAAAGTACAGTACCAGAACCAGAGGTATCATAAACAGCATAAAACCTTGTATTCTCTGTTGAATTCCCCTAAATGGCAATTGGAAGGACTTTAAAATGAGACCACATCACTTTCGTCCCTTACAAAACATCTTTCCCGAAGTTTGACATGGAGACCAAAATGGTATGTTTGGTCAGTCTAATTTTTCTTACGCAGCCGATAATAATAATCCTGTAAACTTGTTATAGAACAAGCTCTTTTATTTCTGGGTATTTTGTTTATAGACACACCCAGGGTAAGCAAAAGTTTTTTGGTACTCTTTTGATTCAGCTTAAAATTAACTTGCCCTGACTAGCTGGAAAAAATAGGCAAGCTAATTTCATTATCATACATTGTTTTCTTTTTCTTTGGCTGGGTTCCCTGAATCTCACAGGCTCTCAGATTATGAGTCTCAGCTCTGATATTAATACAACACAGTGCGAAAATGATTACCAGATTGGTTTACAATGTATATTACACCGGCCTACAGTATTTGCTTTTCTTCATTTAGGCTCAGAACAACTCGACCAACCACAGACACTCTTCGTCATCTGTTTTGTAAAGAGCGACTGTGAATGGATATTACAAGCTTGTAAAGGAGAGAAAATCTCAGACTGCTTTGTTAGAATCAGAACATTAATACAAACCACATCTCAGAATTATTAAGATAAACAAGGTTGCCATGCCATCACACACATTCCTTGTAAACAGTCATATCAAAAAAGTAAAAAAAAAGTAAGAAAGTCATATCAAATGGGCTTTTGTCATCTCATCCATACACACGAAATGATGTTCTCCAGGATCACAGTGTGACACACAAACTGCAAATGACAAGGAAAGGGTTTTTCAATGGTTAAACTGCAAAAATAGAGCAGTGTACACATACACAAAAAATAAAACACTGCATGAATTATAAGGGAATGTGCCAGAGGTATAATGTCTGTCAGTCATACACTCACTGGCCACATTATTAGGTACGCCAGTTCAACTGCTTGTTGAAGCAAATATCTAATCAGGCAATCATATGTCAGCAGCACAATGTATAAAACCATGCAGATACCTGAATTTCCCCAAGGGGATGAATAAAGTATCTATTATTATTATTATTATTATTATTATTATTATACAGGACTTAATGTTTATATCAAACACTAGAATGGGGAAGAAAGGTGATGTATGTGACTTTGAATATGGCGTGGTTGTTGGTGCCAGATGGGCTGGTATTTGTATTTCAGAAACTGTTGATCTACTGGGATTTTCACACACAACCATCTCTAGGGTTTACAGAGAATGGGCCAAAAGAGAAAAACATCTGGTGAGCAGCAGTTCCCTGGGTGAAAATGCCTTGTTGGTGACAGGGGTCAGAGAAGAATGGTCAGGNAAAGGTAACAGTAACTCAAATAGCCACTTGTTACAACCAAGGTATGCAGATGAGCTTCTCAGAATGCCTAATATGTCGAACCGTGAAGCAGATGGGCTACAGAAGCAGAAGACCATGCTGAGTGCCAATCCTGTCGGGTAAGAACAAGAAACTGAGGCTACAATGGGCATGTGCTCACCGAAACTGGACAATGGAAGATAGGAAAAATGTTGCCTGGACAAATAAGTCGAGATTTCTGCTGCGATATTCATGTGGTTGAGTCAGAACTTGCCGTTAAACAACATCAAATCATGGATTCATCCTGCCTTGTATCAACAATTCAGGCTGCTGGTACTGGTGTAAGTGTGTAGGATATTTTCTTTGCCTGTTTTGGACCCCTTAGTACCAACTGAACATTGTTTAAATGCCACACCCTACCTGAGTGTTGTTGCTGACCATGTCCATCCCTTTATGACCACCATGTACCCATCCTCTGATGGCTACTTCCAGCAGGATAGCACGCTAGGGTGGATCTAGGCCTAGGGGTGCATGCAGAGTCTCCAGTGCTTCCCTTCTTGCTAGTATTGCCTTTTGTTTGACCCAGTGTGCCCTGCTTTAGTTTGACCTATTCCATTCTTGGAATAAACCCCCTTTTATTTGTCCTCACGCCGGCTCCCACCTCCTTTCGTTCTGCATCGTGACAGAATGACCAGACTGGTTAAACCCCAGTGAATCGCTGGAATGCTGCCTGCTGATCAGCTCTACCTGCTTCAGGTTTATTTTGTGCTGCTGCCACAACCGGCAGTGCACCTCTCCTGAGGTTGGCCCGCTTCTATCAGCTGTATGGATGCATTGCTGCCCTTACCCCTGGCGTCCTAGTAGAGGAAGTGGTGGCGATTAGTGAGGGTCTCCAGACCGTCCGGTATGAGGTGAGCGCACTAAATCTGGTGCAGAAGAAGCCTCTCGCTGGTAAGGCCACTGCTCCACCTGATGACTTCCTGACACTGGCTGCCAATCCGTCCACTGGCCACCTGATGTTCTGGCCAGGGGACGCTGCTGCTGCTCCACAAGTACACATGTTCTGTTCTGTTCCCAGATTGTTCTGGCTCTACCCTGTTCANGGCCACCTGATGTTCTGGCCAGGGGACGCTGCTGCTGCTCCACAAGTACACATGTTCTGTTCTGTTCCCAGATTGTTCTGGCTCTACCCTGTTCATCTTCCTAGGTCCCGGCTCCTGCCCGCTGCTTGCCTGCGACTGCCTCCTTGTTGGGTCCTGCCCACTGCTTGCCTTGGCCACCACTGCCTTGTTGGCTCCAGCTTGCTCACTTGTTGGTCTCCGGCCACAAGCCTGACCCTCTGCTGGTCTCCAGCACTGAACCTGACCCGGACGAGTTCTGCTCAGAAGTTGCCACTCCTTTGCCTTATCCTGGGGAAATCCCTGCAGAACCTGTCCTGATCCCAGCTAAACTCCACCTACCTCCTGAGGTTCCCAGCCCATGTTCAGAGGTGATTTGAGCTCCACCCTACCCCAGGGGCGTCTAAGGTCCGCCTGCTTGCTGAGGTTCCCCGTCTGAGCCCCATCTCTCTCCAAAGGTCCCGTCTGGTCTTGTGCCCTGTTTAGTCCCCCTGTGTCAGTATGCCCCTGGTTCTTTTCATGTCAGTCAAGTCCTGGTGCATATTTAATGTTCTATGTTTAGGTCGATGCGACGGAACATGTGGAGTAAGATTTTCATTGTACGGTGTAACTGACTGTTTTTACCATGCATATAACAATAAATGTCTTAATCTTAAGTTGTCCCAAAGTTCTTATCTCACACTGGATTCTAGAACAAGAGTTCACTGTACTCAAATGGCCTCCAGTCACCAGATCTCAATCCAATAGAGCACCTATGTGATATGGTGGAACGAGAGATTAGCATCATGCAGGTGAAGCCAACAAATCAGCACCAACTTCATCATGCTGTCATGTCAACAAGGACCAAAGTCTCTGAGGAAGGTTTTAAGCACCTTGTTGAATCTATGAGATGAAGAATTAAGGCAGTTCTGAAGGCAAAAAGAGGTGCAACCCTATACTTTCAAGGTGTACCAAATAAAGTGGCCAGTTAGTGTATGTCATACAGTTACTCCTACCGCATGTAGTTCTCTTTGTTGTTGCTTAAAGAATGCCCTTTATTAATGGTAACAGAATAACATACAATTAAATAATACATTTTTTAAGTTCTGGAAATGGACTCCAGTGTGATTGTCATCGGTACAGCATATATACAATATGAGGTCTGGCACGGTGGCCTTGCACCTCTGGAGGCCAGGGTTCGCATCCCCTCCCCAGCGTGTGTGTGCCTGTGTTTCCTGGGATTGGCTCCAGGCTCTCCAGCACCCTGTAGCTGTAAGATGGATGAATGGGGGATGGATATTTGAGAACAGATAGCTCAGTGTGGTTGTTCGTGTATTTCAACCCAAAGTGTTTTATTT